GGTGGACAAATTCTCTCCAAAAGTATTGCTACTTGAACCCACGACTAGCCCTAGTTGCAACGTCACGGCGCAATATTCCTTCGCTCTCTAAAAATAATGCCCAATTCCTCGTAGATGTGGCTCATGTAAGTACAAAAGCCAAAAGTCAGCACTTCATTATCATTAATTTTCCCGTTTCGAGCAGATGACAGAGGATAAGACTGTCGGCAATGGTCGTGGGAAAAGCCTCACGTTTATCTTCGATGAGATTTATCATCAAAACATGTTCTTACCAAAAACCACCTTACATTCATTACAGCCGACCACAGACATCAGAGTTACTTCTTTTTGGAGCAATTTAACATTGCGGCCTTTTCTGATGATCAGTGGACTTAAAGTGAACACACGTGGTACACTAATTGCCCTAATTAAATAAAATGGAAAATTGCGCGCAGGGCAATGCATAGAGCTTAGGTTTCATTGAAGTAACAGCGAGCATTAAGGCGCTACAGGAACCGCAATATAAAACCCATTTGTAAACAAAATATTTGTTTTAAGGCATTTCTCCACAGCGGAGAAGCTAATGGTCCTCAATGCCCTGTAGATCGGCCGGTCGCGCAGCCGACTTCGTGCCCAAAATCACCCAGTCGTCGACGAGGAACAAATCCACGTGAAAGGCATCCATTTCCAGCCACGTCGACCGTCTCCTCATCCTGCACTGACTGAGCGCAATCACAGCACAGCTAGCGTTAGCGTCGTTAGTGTCGCATGTTTACTACTGGTTTGTTTTGATCCGTTTCTGCTCGAAATGAGCTCATCCTTCTTATTAGGACAAAACTTAGATTTGTAGCCGCGCGGTATGAGTTAATTTATATTGAGGAGCTTTTCAACTCTGGCTTTCCATAACATTTTCATTAAATACAGTTTCACTTATTGAATAAGCTCTAGTAAGCTTCAGGTACATCCGAATAAACGGTTGTGCAATCGCCTAACCATTGTCTCCTTGCTATTCCCTCTAGTTAGTTGTTAAATGGGCTGGCGGTGCATAGCAAGTGCAAAAAAGATGCATTGAATTGGTGCCAAATCTTAATGATATGTTAAAGAATATACGGTAAATGGAAGCAAGCAACTCACTCTTCCAGTTTGATCGGCTTTCTCGCTAAGGCAGTCACGCTAGACAAGACGTGGCCAGGAGGCAAAAAATGTTATTCTCACTGGCAGGATTTAGAAAACATGCAGTAGCAGCGCTGGCGAACGAAATGCTGCGTGTCCAGTTCGTGGCACTACTTGAGCGAATTCATACTCTGGCACTTCCACTCCTGATAATTTTCGCTGACTTGTGTTTGCGCGCCAAATCCGTCCAAATTCCGCCTTTCTTACTTCTTGTCCTTGTAAAATTAATTTCATCCATTCACACAAAAAGCATTAATTGCAGTTTTGATAATTGTAATTTCAAATCAACATATAGCACAATATTCCTTCATTTTCTTTGCTAGATTCAAAATATTTATTTAAACCTAACATTGTGAACCTATAGGCATTTTTACTTGTAGCTAAAATCGGAACCAAAAGGATCATCGTTACTCAAAAATGCTTTTTTTCTTGCAGTTTGCTTAAAATGCTGATGATTGAAAGTAACACGTCTTAAGTGATACACGTGATATTACGGTAGCCATCGTAAAGTTGCCTCCTCCCCCCAATAAATCTGAAATGATCATTTCAAATGCTCTGTGGTGGGACGTCTTTCTCGACCAAAATAAACCTAGTGAATCCTTATTCGATTGATTATTCTTGGATTATCTTTAACACTCGGGGCTTTTTCAGTTTAGTGTTTGGTGAGTCTAGCTATGTGAATTGCTTGTCTGTAAAGTTGTAGGAAAACTAGCCGGCACAATGATGGCAAACGCTGCCAGCCACTGACTTTAAGATTGCCCCCTTTAGAAGACCATATTTATTACTAAAGATAAATTTCGATTGAAACAAGCGGGTTTTTTGCATTGGAAGCAGCTTTCCAGTGTTGTTAGGTCTTGCGTTTGCTGGCTTTTTCGGCAAATAAATAAACGCCCTAGTTTTGTCATTTTGAAGGCTCGACACAAAGTTAGTGGATTCCTTTTTTCCACACTGACGAATATCCGGTTATTGGTGGACCGTGAAGCTGAATAATAATAAAAGAAAAATATTTTAAATTCGTTGTGCGTTTTCAAAAGCCAATGACTGACATGGAGATTCTTCGTGGGTAAAAAAAAACAGAAACAAGATGTCATGAGTGTGTTAATCAGGTATCCATAAAGAGTGTTTTTGAGCACCAAAATCAGATTCGTTTGCATTCAACTAAACCATGTGAGTTTGGGTCTCAACTTGAAATCAAAACAAGGGTCTATGCAATCTGGTAGCCCTCTGTCACTACCTGGGAAGGTTCATGGTATTAGCGTTGAAGTATTTGCCTCTGCTTTAATTTCATTTAATGCAGCGTAAAGCCAACATGATTTTAAAAGATTGCAACTATTTTACGGTTGATTGCATGTGGTTCCATGCACATAGGTTCCAAATCCCGGTCTAATGTTTACTGAGACAAATTAATGACGGTGGTTATGCCGAATCACACACTTCTTGCCTAACGGCTTACTCAATGACTCTTTCTTTAATAACCTCCACCTTAACTGTCAATCATACGTATTTGCATATATGTGAACAATACTGTCATAAATAACCAACCGACCATACTCAGCCAACATCCACAAAAACGATTCTCGATTCTTGAACTCCTTGAACTAGTACCAAATACGATTTCTTTCTACTTGGCACAATGTGTTCGATGTATTCGTGTGCAATTATGCAAACCGGTCACATCATTTGGAGTCGGTAATTTTGCATATAAAGCATTCTATTTAGGCTAATTTCTTGTTAATTCTGGCTGTCAAGACAGTTTAAAGTAGGTAATTTATTACCTCTTTCAGGAATGTAAATATTCGCTTACATAGACATAAAATTTGAGTCAACATCAACTGGCAATGACGGCTCCGAGTCACCAATCTCGATACAGATTTCTACTTCATGGTTTAACGAAATTACGAGAATATTGCTTGAAGAGTTAAGCTCCAGAGAAGTTAATTCCAAAAAGCAGAACAGTCCTGTACACAATAAACCATTCCGGTGCTTGATTTATTTTTATCTTGTTTCTGCTTTACTTGCGCCAAGTTACCAAACCAAGTAGTTCTGAATACGTTTTATTCATGGGATTGGAAAAATAAAAGTGGTGTTGGCCAATTTGTCAGGCAGTTGGGGTGGGCGTGCGAGGCCGCACAAGCACACACTTGAAAGAGGAGCCGGCACAGGGACGGGGGAGGGGGTAGGTAAGGCGCCGGACCTCTCGGCTGTAATTTATGCCGCAGCGGCCGCGTAGGGAAGGGGTAGGTTAGCTCGGTACTTAACAACTTAATTTCACCCTGGCAAGATGCTTTTCGACTTCTTTCAAGTGCGATGACCCACTGCCCCACTGCTATCGCCATATCGTGATCACTTTACCTCGCCCTGTTCGCAAGAGCCACAAGAAAAAGACAACTAGTTCTTTTTTAGTCTCTCAGTTTAAACAAAATTGGCGGTTCCTACAAATTTAAGACCTGAATAATGCACCAAGTCAAGACAACAAGCCACAGTGAAGTGTGCTAGCCAAGCGAGAAAAACTGGGTTATAGAAAAAGCTCCGCTTTAACGGCGCCGTTTTTTCTCTGGATCGGCGGTACATGGCCAGACATTTATCAACTTTCGCAGCTGGGTAGTTGGGGGCAGGCGGGCGGGCAGGCGTGGGGGTCGGGGTGGGGCGGGGCGGGGGTAAAACTGTGTGCGACATAAAATCTCACGCAGACGTCTGGTTACAATAAATGCTTGTGTGCACGTTCGTGTCGTAATTAGCATCGGGCTGTGCGAAAAAATCCGTCCATAAAATTACTTAGTCAACAGTAACTTCGGGATGTAATTGCGGAGAACTGCAAGTAAGGAACTTGAAACCCATAGCAGATAGGTGGAGATGAGCCCATAAGAAGAAGTCTCGATGTCGTTGGTTGCAGGAGAAAGTGAGCTTTTTAAGCTAGGGCTGCAGGCCTATCTCACTTTGTTTGTGTATTACTGCTGGCTCGTGCTATTTTGACCAGTTTGTTGTTAAATGAGTTCAGGGTAGACACCGGGCTTTTCTATTCGATAAAGTGAGTTCTTTTTAACTCGTTCATAAGTTGTCCGGTTTTCATGTTCCCTATGTTATTTCACGAGTCTTGCGATGAGTTGACTTGGTTAATTTATCATAATTAGGCTTTATTAACGTTTGAGGGTTTCTCGCCCACAGATCACTGGTTTGCAATAGGGTTCATTAAGACTAGAACCACACAGTCCAAGGGTGCTGTCTGGGCCTTAGGAAGCATCTATGATCCAAAGGTATTACTTAACTGTTAGCAAAGCATATTCCTGAAATTCATTTCGTCCTGCCCAATACCTGGTAGATAAATTCATTTTAGCCGTAAAAACACGAGTATTTGTAAGCTAGAGCAACTTCCCTGCTCACTCCTCAGATTGCGAATAAACAAACGACAATCAGTTATGAGAAATAGATGTTTTCGAGAAGCGCTTTTTACGAAAGGCTGGCGTAATCTGTGTTATGAAGGGAACTAATAGGCCTCATTAAAAGAAGACCAAGTTCTGTGTTTGTTGGTGTCACCACGAAGGCAGACACCATTGGAAAGATAGAGTCCAGCTGCTGAGGTGAAGCAAGTGCTCCAGTGAAGGTCCTTAGAAGAATCGATGGAAAAGCTGCAAGCTTTGTGGCCGTTGCCTTTTCACCTTCCATCCTTGCACGAATAGCTAAGGAGTGCGTTTGCGCACTGCATCCTTTAAGTGGTCTACAATAATAATAATAATAATAATTACATGTGTTCAGTTGGTGACGGTTGCTTGGGTAAAAGATATTCATTTATACTGGCTGACACTATCATAAAAGGCGTGATAAAATCCTTTCCAAGTTGCATTTATTGCATGGTTGGGCTACGAGAAACGTTCATGATGGTGCAGCTCCAGGCTATCAATGCAAAATTCTTTGATCTTTTGAGTCGCCCAGAGCCGAACCGAAGAGCAGCCACCCTTATTTTTCAATGCATCAGTGTTCGTGCCAAACGCAGGCTTCGGTCGCTATCGTGGATTCAACTCGCCCTAAAATCTACTCCTATCAAAGGCCACTTGAAAGAGACCGTGCTCACGGCTGGGGCGACGGAGGGAGGGGGTGGCGGTGGTGGCGGCGCGAGCATGTGAGGCCCTAGCAGCGGCGCTTTGCCTGCGCGGACGCAAGCAGAGGTGGCGGCGCAGGAGGTGAAGGTGGGGGGGCGGGAGGGGGCTGGCTACGGGACTCGTGCGCGAAAGAGATCAGAGGGCAGGACAGAAAAAACGGGTTTTAGAACTGCGCCGCCGAAACGCTTCAAAGGTACGAGTGAATTAATTCATCCATGGTAGCATATTGGTGTGTGTGTGTGTGTGTGTGTGAGCATGAATTCACATTTATGCCAAAATTTGGTTTATTCTTTGGCTCGCGGCCTTCCCCTCGTCATTCTAAATGCCATTGACAAAAACATCCTGGTAATTGGTGCAAGTAGTTTTCAAAATGACAAATTAAAAATCGAAGCTCATCAAATGAGCGCTTGCACCTCAACTGCCATGTCTGTACGCTTTACTTTTGCCTCATGAACGCAATCACTGATTTACTTAGTCTGTGTATTTTGAGCTATCATACGGTCAGTCGGAATAATTTCCTTGCGTCAGTGCCATGTTAAAAACAGCGACTTGAAATTCAAATTTTCTGTGCATTATCAAATCTATTATTTTGCACATAAAATGACATTTGGCTGAAGGAGTCTTCGTTGTACGCCTCCCTGATTTTACTCCTAACAGGAAGAGGCGGCTAATACGACAGTGAAGGCATGGACGAGGATAATTCGAACTGAATGCAAGCAATAAGCAACGGTGGGTTCTTTATGTGTTTGTAACGAAGAGGCCTACTTATCTCCGAACCGTTTAGGAAATGAAAGCTTTGATCTTGTGTTTATGCGAAATACAATCTCGGGTATGTCGAAAATAAGCAGTTTCCAGCCCAAGTGAAACCCCGATGGCACGATTTTTCACGCATTTGCCTTCAAAGCTAGGGCAGCGTAACGTCTCCTCACATTGCACATTCACAAATAGGCTTAATTTAGCTTTAAACGAATCGGTGTGCGCAAGTCAGCACTTTGATCTCTGCCATCACGAGTGTTGGCATTTTTTTATCACCTCCGCAAGCTTTAACAGTAATTCTGCTCTTTATGCTATCTTAAATTGCTTTGTCAATACTAGGCTTTCTGTGTGTGCATAACTTAGCACTCTGAAACACAGGTACTTTCGCCGTCTAGGAACTAAGTCCTAATGCCTGATTCAAACTTTGTTCAGGTAAATGAAACCCCTAGTCTGCCTTGCTTTTCAAAGGAAACATTCCCCAAGAAACATTGCATCGTTTTCGAAAACAGCCCATATTGCACGTATAAGCTTCGTGCATGGTATAATTAGCATATAACAAGCTAATTTTTTGCTCGGTTCGAAAATTAAATCGATTTTATTGTGTGTTATTGTCATTGTAAACATAACGTGAGGGCTTAGACTATTTGCCTTAAGCCTGACAGAGCTATCACCACGAAAACGGCTTGTGCCATTAGTGCCAGTGGATTGCACTGATTTCGGTGCATTGCGGTCCATTAACTTGGCTTCCTCGTTTATGGCCTGATATCTTAAGATCTTAATGCAGCATAGCGTTAGTTTGGCTGTGCTTACGCTTCTGCGTCGCACGACACCTCGTGTTTTCTTAAATATTTATTTTGGTCTATAGGTACTTCAAAAAAACCAACAAAATTGTGAATCGTACCTAAATAAAAACAATTTATTTTTCATGCGAATGGCTGGAGGAGGCCTCAAAAGTTTCTCAAGATGCAATTTTTAGTGTAAAATAGGCAAATTAACTTAGACCTAAAACAAATCAAGTCTAAGGGACTTACGTCCTAGTTCAAAGAAACGTCGTCAAACATTGATAATAAATAATTTGCCACAAAGGAGTACAATAGACCTATGGGGTTGTAAGCTGATTCACTCGAAAAATTCCTTGCTGTTAATCGTGATGCTTCACACCCTTTAATCCGGTCGCGCCAGCCCCCGACACAGGGTCCCCCTTTTCGCAGTATGCCGCCAGCCGTGGGGATCCTCAACTCCCCCTCATTAGCACGAACACTTATCGTGGATTATCCTCACACTTAGGTGTCGACGTTAGCGCATGTATGACTCACACATCTGAGGTATAAATACACACGCGCAAACTCCACACACGACACATCGACACAAACGTGGTTGAGCTCTGAAGTAAAGGGTTGTGTCCACGTCCTCTCCGGTCTTTTTTCTTCATTGCGGGAATCAGGGAAACGTAATCGGGTCAGAGTTAATTCAGTGGCTCCGGCGTGGTTCACACAATAGATTTTCTCCCTGATTTACGCATCTTAGAATTGCGGTAAAATTAGTGAATAAATACGTAATTGCCAACCCACTAGGTCGTTTCATCAAACTGCCTTCGTGCATAACAAGGTTCTGATCATTCCTTTGTTAGTAGCACAGTGAGCAGTTGCACTCATTTGCAGTGATGGAGGTTTTCAATTTAGACGTTTTCGGTGTACATGAAACCTTTCGTCGGTCCCCTCAATTCGACAATTCATGAAGGTGAAATCGCTATGACAACCAATCTCTTTTGTCTTCTGAAGTTGTTTGCGGCCCGCCTTTGCGTGCTTACCAGTGTAGCAGTTTCCCCCTATGGGTGCTTATCGAAAGTTTGTTGCTGATTTGAATCGACATCACAATCGGTGGTGCATTCATGAAAACTGATCGCGAGAACCATAAAGATGAACGGTAGCAGCAAACAGAGGATCCAGGATTCCAACCTAAACGATCTCACTTAAAGCAAATCGGGCGTTGGCTGGAGATTTGTGGTTAAATTATCTGGAAGTCGCGGCCACCCAAAGTGATTAGAGACGTTAAAGAGGCCTGAAAACTTGACCAATGGTTAAATTCATCTAAATGTCTTTTACTTTGGAACACGGTTTGGTAACTATCACATGAATTTCGTTGCCGTGTCTGAGAGTTTCCATAGTATTGAGCCCAATTAAAATGCATACAGGGGGTTACGATGCTTGCCACCCGCGCTTCCGCAAAAGCAATCCTCTGCGATCTCTCAAAACCTCGTGGAACGCCTGCCACAGCAATTCAGCGAGTTGACAAATTGCATTGTGAACTGACACACTTCTCGTGACTCACACAAAAGAAGTTTAACGAATTTAGTTGGGGATTGAAGCCCCACACTCTGTCCCTAATTTTTCGATCATCTGGGCAACTTTTCACGGGTAAAAAGTCTTAGGGATTTGGACGGCTTCGATGTGCTGCCAGATGCCTACAAACTCAACGAACGTGCAATCTTACTATTCTGCAATCATTTGGTGGGTTGGTGTCGAGGAGCATGTTAAAATTGCGACTGAATTCTGTAGGGGGGGGAGTTGTGTTAAAAATGCACATAGTCCTTGTGAGAAATTAAGTCAATTAGGACAAGAAAAAGCAAGTTTAGGATCTAGCAGTCCGCCTCTTTAAACTCAAGCATTCAGGGGCGATGTAGAAACAAGAAGGACCGTCGCTCTCTCTCTCTCTCCTAGTGGATGAATGACGCCGGCAGTAACTATGGGGCCAAAACAGAGACAGTCATCCAATGAGCTCACATCCAAAATCAAACGAAGAGTGAAATAACAAACTAAATGCAACTTTTCTAACTGCTGTGCCGAGTTAAACACCTGAATGCGAGGCGTCTGACTATCGCAATCCAGTACACTTTAGCGCCTGGTGGCCCGTCCGTAGGGCGTCAATGATTTGGCCCCCAAAATTGGCTTTTTTCAGCACTGCAAATGCTCTGGCCACTTGGCATCGGCCAACCAGGCTACACCATGTATTTTTCGGCCAAAAACTCTCAAGTCAATTTCAGGGGCCGCATCACATGCGTTGATGTTGCTGTCTCTGGCTAACAGACACCTGCGCTCTCAAAGAAGCCAGTTTCATGTTAGGCCTCATGAAATCGGCCAAACTGCGATGCTCACTGCACTTTAACCTGCTAAATGATGCCTTTAGTGTTCCGGAATGTGTGTCTGTGTGTGATGATGGGATTCGATGCTGCGCAGACTGGCCTTGCACACTCCAACCGTTTTACCAGTCGGCATTGAGAACAATGACTCCCTCAGCACTTCCCATACCATTCTTGTGAGTACCACTCTCGTCATCGATTTTAAGCACACAATTCAGGAGTTTTTAAGATTAGCACCCATTAGTCGACCAGCATTACATTAGTGCTGACAGTGTGCACACTAATCCTCTAAGAACAATGTTATCGCTAACTTGTGATCCGACAAGCGTAATTGCCCCGTCTCGAGTGGATCAGTGGAGAGTGATTTCAAAATGTCTACGACTAATTCATGGAATTAACTTCTGGGGCTCGGAAAAGCATCGACTGGGGACTAAAACAGACCAATGTCCACAGAAATAGAGGCGCCAGATTCGCGTTTTGATAACCTTCACGGGCCAGAACCTTAGCATTACTACGAGGGAGAGAGTGTATGTGCAGCACTGTTTATACATGCAGTTGCAATGACCTCATGATAATTCACCTTGAAGAATTAAAAAGAAGCCACTTGAGAATCTGGTGTTTGCACGGAGAGGTTTTATAGTACATACAAAATGACGCATTCTGGGGAGGGGATTGTGAAAGTATCTGTACAGTTACGGGGAAATTCTGGGGGAGAAATCATCACCAAGTAGAGCAAAATATACGGAGTCTATGCATGTGCTCATGGGGCTGGTTAGTGTCACAAATATAGGTGGGGAGAAGTAGGAAGACTTTTTTCGGAAAAAAACGTGCTTCGCCTTTTTTGTACATTAATCGGCACGTTCAACGCGGGCAATCACCTTGCCCTCCCAGAGTGGGAGAATTGCATTGTCATCACCCACCTCTTCGTTGACACAACCCGTTCCAAATTCGTCACTGGCCGTCTTGAAGAAGTACCTGAAATAGAAATGGTAGGGTCGAAACAATTTTACTTAGAATTTGTGAGTAGAGAGGTTTTTGCTGTTGGTATGCACAAGTCGCCGAATGTGGCAGACGGGAAGCCTCGTTGACTAGCCCGAAGATTAAATGAACCATGGCGGTGACACAGAAACTCAATCACCTGCAAAAACATTGACCTAAACGCCGAGGTCCGAAGAACCTGTTAGGCCTGGGAATTGTGAGCGTAAAGCATTTGTGGGAGCTCAAGAAGCTTTGACGTGCCTCAGCGCATTGGGGCCGTGAGCTCTGAAACGCACCGCTTAAAGCCTCACACTCAAACTGCATAATGGCGCGTTTGTGGTCCGCAAACTTCCCCAGGTCAGGGGAAAATAGCGATAATTTACACAGAATTCACCAAAACCCCAGCGCACCTATGAAACGTGCATTCACGTGGAACTAAAAATTGAGGCTTATACAGTGAAACAGCCAAGCACTAACCAATCACAGACGTCGCAAACAACGCGAAGAATTGTGCGGTGAAAGAAATATAGCCACTTGAGTTTGATGTCAAGTCGTTCGTGAAACCGCAAAGTTGGCCAAAACCACACAGGCTGGTATAACGATGCCACAAATTGTAGGCAAATGTAGACAAAAGCACACACACACCCACACACACCCACACACACCCACACACACCGACACACACCCACACACACCGACACACGTGCGTACGCCTCAATCAATAGTCGCTTCGCCGATGAAATGTAGCATTAAATCCCACCGTGGCCGCGTGTACGTACCATGGCCCTTTTGATGTTGCAGTGTGCGCGCCTGCCTGTGTGTGCGCGATGAAAATAGACACGGCACGTCTATTAATCACCGGCGCTCGCACCCACGCACACGCGCACGCGCCACAGGCCATCTCCGCCCTCTGCTCCTCCGCTATGTTACGACGACCCCTGAGAAAAAAACGCGCCGTGTGCACGCCGCGCACGCGTGGGTGCGTGGGTGCGAGCGCGGCGTGCACACGGCGCGAGATGAAAGGCAGCGACTTTGATTTCTGCTGCGCGAATCGCGCACGTCTTCAAAGGCGAGCGAGCGAGCGGACGGACGGGAGGGCGGGCGTGCGGCGGGCGGACACGCGCGTCCGCGTTCATAATAAACACCGACATCGATTTCGCGTTGGGTTGGGGTACTCACTGGGCTTTGATGAAGCCGACACGCACACGCACACACACACACTGGCCGGGCATGGTAATAAAATGGTTTGTCTAGCGAGGAGAGGAGGGGATGTGGGGACCGGGCTAACCGACCCTTCTACTCCACACTTGATGCAAGAAATTTGCACATAAATAGTTGGGATGTGATCGTTGTCCCGGAGGCCGGTGCTGAATAATGAAAAGTTGCCATGAACATACAGTAGCAAGTGGAAAAGGGTGCCCAAACAACGACCCTAGTCAAATCGCCACACCATTCACACGAACACAAAACTCGGAGGACGGCGACGACAACGATAATGACGAACCAAAAAGGAACAACGAAGAGACCTCGAAGAGTGCAAATCAGTTTGGGTACCCAGTCCACCTTCCACTCATTCAAAACAGTTTTGAGCCGATAAAAGTCATCGTAATATGTGTAATTTGAGGAAAACCCTCGAGTCATGGGGAATGGTGCGGTATACAAGGCGGCGACAACGTCCACGTTCCTGAACGCGTAGTTGGCAGGTGTTGGATTTTTGTCGCCAGACGAAACTGCTCAAAATGAACTTCAAACCTAACCAAATCACAAAATCGGCCCAAGTTTTAGCCACCAAGCAAGGCGTTTTACGCTTAAAGGGGTACATTAACGTTGTTCTCAGGTGTGCAGGGAACGGGCATATAACCAAGGCGCTTGACACAACCAGCCTTAATAACAGATGCTAATGCATGGCTTGAGATCGCACGAGCGTCTCGTGACTGATAACATCAAACCCTTCCTTTTCTTGCTAGGCACGACACAATATAAAAAAAACACCGAAATACTGCGGAATAAAACGTTGCTACGATTTGTATTTAACCAACGGGCGTTTCGATTGTGGAGTTGATATTTTTGATCTAGGTGTTGGGGTAAATATTTGCACCGGTTGGAAGCAACATGGCTCAGCGTGGTGGAATTTGGATGCACCGCGTTCAGAAGCCTCGCCCCTCACTGTGCTCGCTGTGCCCGGAGCAAACCACCACGAGCAGTGCGCCGCTTCTGCTTCAGACAAGGTGTGGTGGCAGGGGCCAGGTAGGGATGGTCGCGCCAGGCTTGCCTCCATCACATCTGACTGAAAAGCTGGCGCCCCTAACTGACTACGTGGTGCGAGGTCCCTCAAGCAGTTAGGGTGGGGCCCGAGGTAGGAGTCGGGGGGAGGGAGTAATAAGATGCCTGGGTGATTGTGCAGATTCCTATCGAGGCTTTTGGAAGACCGGTCGCAGAGGTGAGCGCTTTTTTAACGTCTAGCACTGCATAGGCAAGTGCAGTGCTGTGGCACACGGAACGAGGAGAAATACTTCGGTATCGCCAGAAGCACCACTAATAAGCACTGCGCGCATAAAACATACTCACATAAATCGAGTTTGTTTCTTTTTTACCAAGAGGAGCTCCAGCATACGCACAGACATGAAATAAATACCGAAAATCAAAATTCCTGCAACCAGAGGCTGAACACTTAACCAAGAACCGGAAACTTAAAGGGCCTTGTCAACAAAGCAAGATGCAATGTGCGCGGGCGCGATGGCGAAAGTAGCGTTTGAAGTGAAACGGCGATGTGCGCAGCTCTCTTCCTTCCTGCCTGATAACAGGGTGTGTGTGTGTGTGTGTGTGTGGCGGTGGCAGTGCCAGAGGAAGAGGTGGTGGAGGGTGATTATCAAAGACTTCCGAGCCATTAATGTGTGCTTCAAACACCGCCTGGCCCACACGTGCAGGACGGATGGCGAGAAAAAACGCCACGTGCAAGCACGATGTTGTGGCCCTCGATTGAAAGGTGCTAATCAGGCCTGTGATGGCCAAACCAAGTAGGTATCGCACGCACGGCTAGCAAATCAACACGTTATCCTTTACGATCGGTTTGTCGGAAATAATAATTACGTGCTGACAGCAAGATTTCTCTTCTGCACCCAACAAAACGGCATACGCCACGCAAAGTGGAACTACGCGTTTACGTAGCATTAAATGAAGATCGCAGAGGTTACGGAGAAAGTCACGAGGCTGCAGAGTGATAGTGGGTATGTCGTGTGGAGATTGAAGGCAGCTTCGAGGACGGGGCTTTAGGATTGTTGACCCGAAGCGGACGTGTTCTAGCCCAGGCTCGCGCATAGGCAAGACCGGCGTCGGGAGTGACACGGCAGTTTGACCACTCGTGCGAAAATCCCGACCAGCAGTCTGGTTGCACGTTCACGCGAAAGGTGGCGAGGAAAAGGAAAGTAGCAGCAGCAACAGCAGCAGCAGTAGCAGTTGAAGAACCATGACATGATTTATAGCCGTGTGTGTGTGTGTGTGTGCCTCCACGTACGGGTAGGCGCGCTGCTAGCGCACGCAAGTCACACACACAGCTGGCGGGCATGGGGACGACTAGGGCCGAGCGAACACGCGCTTGGACTGCTGCCATGACGGCCGCAGCAGCAGCAGCAGCCGCCGCCGCTGCCACCGCCATCGCAGTGTGTCCGTATTCTGGGCCACACAGCATCGCCTGGCCGATCGATTTTCGCGACACATCACGCAAGTTTAGTGCTCCTGTTTGGAAGATGAGGCTGCCGTTGGGATAGTTCAACAGCCAACCACGAAAGAACGCGTTCCCTATTTTGCAGTCAACTGGAGGATAAGACGATTGCATCCGCAACCAGTATTAAACATACACAAAGCAGGATTGCCATAGCTGCTACCGAAGCAGAACAAGGACCGCGTCATGTTGAGTCAAATGAATTAAATTAGAAGGAGTAGGGGCAAGCGCCTTAGAGACGTGCAGATGGCGCTCTAAGAACTGTACGAGTAATTGCACCAAGGGAGGCGAGTCCGTGAGAAACGCGTCTCCTCCGCCATTCCACGTGTAACACGTAAGTCTGACGGACAGTAAGGAACAAGCATACGTGCTGCACAGAACTTTAAAACACCCCACATCCAAATTTCATTACGAGAAGAACAGTGGGTAGATGTTGCGGCGCAGTCATCACACCATTCACCAAGGCTTTTGGTTCGACCTTAGAGATTCAAACGGAAACCAGGTTTTTCGAGTGAGAAAAATTTTAGCAGTATCCGCAGCACGGGAATAAGCTTGAATCACTCTCAATTGCCTCAAGTCATGGTCATAAGGAAAGGAAGGTCTATAAGTAGGGCAAACACAATCTTACCGATAGACACCTTTTTTGGCAACCAGCTGTTTAAACTGCCCAAGGGTGATTGAAGGGGGACGACTTGAGGCCGCTCCGCCAGCCTCAGACGCCAGGGGGCCGGTCCAGACGGTGCGGTAGGGCACGGGGTCGTCGCAGAGGTAGTAGCCAACCACAAGACTACAGGTTGGGAGAGGGCCTGGCTGTTGTGGTGGAAACGGGGAGTACGTAGGGGTGGTCTTGAGGAGCGTGCTCTCTGCACAGCCGGACACGGCATTCGTAGCTGGCTGGATGCTCTGATGAGGCAACTTCTGCCTCTCCTGCCTGAAGTGGAGGAATAACAAAACACACACGGTTATGGACCTCTAACTACATCCAGTCACTCAGGCAGGATGCAGTGTGCATGCACTTCGACCCAGAAATTTAGGGATATTTTGGTGGACATTGTGAAATATTATTTCGACGATTTACACACTCGGGAAGCAAAAAGGATCGTTCAGCCTCTGGCGTGTCAGACAATCAAATGTGGACTGAAACTTTCAGCAAATCAAATTAATTAAAAGGTTTTCTCAGATCGTGTCAACAAATTTTCAAATTTATGTCTCTCACTAATGCCTCCTACCAATGACACAAAATCCCAGTAACTCAGGTTTACACGACTAGTAGACAGTTGCAAACCCACGTGGCATCGCCGGTAAAGCCCCTTCTTAAGTGGGGCGGCAAAGAGAACTTGGATGAGTCACGAACCAGCAAAAAACAAAACCCAATTCATCCGCACGGAAAATGTCTGGGACACGATAGTAGCAAGTACTACGAAAGAATAACTATCGAGAGAACATACCGATAGCGAAAAACAAGAGGTTGGTCAAGTGAATGGACATTTAGAACAAACACGCACGCTTACGGGTGTTACATGTTCTTAGGTTGGGCAAGTTTGGGTGTTTGTCTTACTGGATTTTGACGCAATGGAATGCTTATGTTAGCCGATAGGGTGTCGGCGGATCTTGGGCAGATCCGCCTACCAAATGCAACGACTTAAATCCTCCGAACCAAGGCGATACAGACTGTGCATTAGGTGATTTCTTGTAAAATTCTGGAGGATACAACGTCAGAGGTGCAAATGTCTTGAATTTCGAGATTATTCAATTCCATTTCACATAATAGCAACAGGCATTTTGGGGAAATGAAATTGATCCAGAATCGGAATACTTAATGCATGGTGTGTAACAACATAACGCAACAAACCAAGGCTGGTTGAATGGTGCATTGGAAAACCGCTGGTCAACCGCTTGATCTTCAGTTTTTCAAACACAGATGACACTATGAATAGAGGCAGGTAAGCATGCGCATCAGTGAGAGTAGTGACTCATAGCAAACGTGTGGATGTCTGTGTGCGGTGCACGAACACGTCTGATTCAGCATGTCTTTGTGTGCGTATCCCGCTCGTAATCACACACGTCGTCCACGCAGCGGACCTCCGACGCCGCCGCCGCCGCCGCCGCCAAGGGCTGGCCGGCTTGACACGGGCCCGTTGAATCGTCGAATGTGGACCACGTTCAGCTCATCAATCAAACCTCGATTAAGTAAACATGGCGCCCAAGGTTTAAGGGGAAGTGAAGAGAATACTTCGAAAATGCTGCAGAGCACGAACTACTATCGGTGTTTTAATGCAAAACAACTCCGCCAAGGTTGTACGAAGGTCACACGACTGACCGCAGTGAAACAAACGTTTTAACGTGCACGTGTCGAAGCATGATTTTTACGTACTTCCTTTGTGACAAAGGAGAGGGAACAAACAGGTTTTAACATGGTGCGAAGAAAGGGTAGTTATGTGTCGTAGGCGTAGTTCGAAGTAAAGTGCTTGGAATAAATCCAGGAGCACATTGAAATTAGAAGGCCTTCTCAAAACCACAGTTGACGTCATACTGTAACACTGGAGATTGCATTGGAAAGATTTTTAAAAGAAAAACGAACTTGGTAGAAGGTAGATATCCAGAATTGAGATCTAGGTTAGTTGTGAGGGTGGCAGGAGTTGCATTCCTACCAGGATTGCATTCACCCGGCAAACGATGATTTATATCTAAAGAATGCGGGGCCAAATTAAAATATACGCATAGATTTTGACAGTAAGTCGAATTAAAGAGGTGCTCACCGTCTCCTGACAGGGGTGTCGGACGACCACTAAATGTCGGCGTAGTACCTTCAACTGGCTGTTGACTAAAAGCGGAAAAGGATAAGGGTTTGTTTGTGTACGTGTGTACATGCATATATTTACTCCAAAATACAACACTAAGGCGAGGTTACGAAATTACACACACGACTGGCGATAAAAGGGAAGAGAGTTGCCATAACTACCGCCATTAGAAGCAGCGAGCACGAAAATTATGTACGGGCGTGTGTGTGCACGAGCGTGGGGGCTCGCTTGTGGGGCGCTCGTGCGCACGCATCAAAGAGCAGCGCGCTCGACGCATTAATCAGGAGGGTCGGGGAGAAGGTGGACGAGCTGGTAGAATATGCAGGGCGAGTGGTGGAGCCTTCATAGGAAGAGCAACGGCGGGGGTGTGAACTTTGGTCGTCAGTGGGCGCGTGTGCTTATTGTCGCTATTATCGATTTTCAGTTTGTCTTAGCCCACGAAACGCGCGTGTGTGTGCGTGTACATGAGAAACAGTTGAAATCGGGCGATGCAAAATGTTGTGTGTATTCGTAAGTGCGCGCACCTAGAGAAGGCGGCGGCGGCGTAATTTGCTTTGAAGTGTAGGCTTTGAAGTAAGCCGCGTCGTCATCGTCGTCGCCGGCCTCATCGCAATACCGTATGTGTGGGCAACGAAGGCAGGTTGGTAAGTCATGCAGCCGATGCGTGCGTGTATGTGTGAGCGCCGGGGTCTGAACGGTTGCGGGGCGCACGCTTTCAAGTGTCTAAGGCACGCCGCCAGCGGCAACAACACGGGAATGCAAGTCATCGTATTAGAAACACAACGCACAAGGCACTGATGCAGAGGGGATAACAAACCACTGCATCACAAACTCCTTCGAATACCAAAACATGCAGGACGATGACATATTTGCTTTATGAAAGTTTAGGAACGAATGTTCTTGGAGTAGAAAGTGCTAAGGTAACCATTTTAGATGAGTTGGCACTGGTTCTAAATTGTAACGCTGACGAGGCTACAAAATGTTTCCGTAGAATGTGTGAACACACAGAGGACGTCCCGCCAAGAGGTCAGGAGGAATGTAAAATTTGACGTCTCTTAGCAACTTTCTTCACCTGGAACCTGACCATGTGCATTAAGCCGACAAAATTGATATGGGAACCTCGAAGAAACCCAACGCCTGATAACAATGATTAAGGATGGTAAAAAGAAAACGAGTACCAACGATAATTAGAACTTCAACATGAGAAGGCCCGTACAAATCTAGGTCGCACGGAAAACAGAACCTAAACTTACGTCAGCTTGTGGTCATCGTGTCTGGAGCGTCGAGGTGTGGGTAAGTGATCGTATGTCGATGAAAGGCCCGAATCGAAGACGCTGGGCGAGTCCGAGGTCAAGCTTCTACTTCGCATGGCCCTACCGCCCCCACCACCACCACCACCACCGCAACAATCAACCTCCTCCAAATTGTAGTGGTGACTGTGACCGTGGTGATACTGCACCCGCTGATATTGCACACCCCACCGGCAACTGCTGCCGCTACTCATGATGTCTTTACGGTGGGCCGCAGGCGTAGAACTCATCGAGGGTGTTCGCCGACAGAAGGAACACACAGGGGGCAGCGGAGGCGGTGCATAATTCCACCGGTACTGGTGGTGAAACGGGCCCCCGCGGCTGACGCAAGACTCGGAATCGGAACTGTTAAGGCCTCCACCACCTCCCCCATAGGTTCCGACGCCGCTGTCGAAAGAAGAGATGGAGTATACGTCAGACCGACGACCGCCCTTTCGACACACATTTAGTGGCTGCCCTCGCCGTTCGTCAGTCCATATACGTGAACAGTGGTCCTCTAGGATGACTTGAGCATCGTCTGCTGGAGGCACACCAACACCCGAGCCGGAAGGAAGAAGGAGAGCAGAGAGCTTTTTACGCAAGAGGTCACCACTGGCGGCCGAAGTTGCGCGACGGGAGGCGGAGGAGAGACGAGTGGAACGAGCCGGTAAGGGCGGAGATGGTGGCTGGTTGACACCTGCGTGGATGGAAGCCAACTCCGCGTCCTCACCGCTTGCATCCTCGGGATCAATCTAGAAAGGGGCAATGGGTACACAGTAACAGACGCGTGATGAGGGTTTTGCTGTACGACTTTCCAATATTTTTGCTATTAAAAGACTGTACATGCTAGCCCTCGTAGGCATAATAGACGCTTGTGTAAACTATTACAAATAATCAGATCGAACAATATCAAGACGACTTTGCTAACCTCACGTCAGAAGGAAAATTAATAAAGGAAGATTTCTATGTGATTGCTCAGAAAATGTTGCAAGAGGAAAGCGTCACTTAAGCTATGCAAAAAAACTATAATACTTTATTTCGTTCGACAAAATAGCACTGCGGAAATATCAGAAGTGGTGAAAAAATGAGATAACAAGAGATGATTCTACGCGTACCGGTTGCATACGGGAGAGAAGACGTTCCATCTTTCCTCGAGACTCCTTAACTTTTTCCAACCGATGGCTGAGGGTTTGCGCGAAGGCACTGGGGTCAACCTCGGCAAGATTGGTACCCGGTTTTCGGGTGGGGACGTCGGAAGCTGCTGCTGCTTGAGGAGGCTTGTTCTGGGTGGACGACGAAGCAAGGTCACCACTGCCGCCGCCGCCGCCGCCGCCGCCGCCACCACCACCACAAACACCTGGGTTCATGTAAGCGATAAGTTCAGAAGCCGTGACCATTTCACGCGCACCACCCGACTCTGTTGTTGTGCGCCTACTTTTATCAGAGGCGATAGTTCCAAATGTCGAGGCCTTTGGGCGGCTAAAAGTGATAATAAAAAAGTTGGGATAATGCCTTATTGTACCACACAGTTGTGAATAATAATGTACCGTAAGTTACATTCACTAATTACTCCCATGGCCACTCAAAGTGCATATGAGAGCGGATGGATTCACTAGTATTATCTTTACTTGTGTTTTATAAAATGTCTCGCATTCTGGGATTCAACGGTTGATTTGGTTCCCTTTTATCGACCGAAAGTGTTTCTACGTTTGATACTGTAACAGTACATGGATTAGTTCGTAGCACACCTCAGTCGCACAACTCTTAGAGAAAGGTTCTTCGAGTTATGTGCATAAACACGGGATGGAAAGTGATTAAAGGGCACAAAATCAATGGGCTACCACTTGCATGTTAACTTATACACACACACAGGTGCGCATGCGCGTAGAAGCAGTGCCGCCGTCGTGCATGCGCACGGGGCGGTGTTCTCGTTAGAACAAGACGGTGGCGGCTGTCAAAAGACCGCCCTGTTGTCGATGCCGCCACAATCATCATCGCCGTAAACGTTGGTTTGCGGAGTTAATCGCTTGTATTCTCTATTTTATTGTTTGACGCGGTGACGCCCTCGTTAACCGAATAGAGCTCAAGACCCACTAGCCTCACTGCGATGACAATGAATGGCAGCGAAACTACTGAGGGTTCTGAGAGCAAGCCATCTGTTGCGACTTCCACTGAGAAAGTTGTCTTGCTTCGCCCGTAACCCATGAAAGCAGGACCCTCCTAATGTGTTCGTAACGCACTTAAAATTACATGCAGACGTGGTGGCATAACTATTAAAAGATACAAGCTCATATAGGTATCTAAATATAGAGCGAAACAATGCGAACGCGCTTTGATCATCGAATTGGGGAAAACTAGCAACGTAAATGCCAAAACTTTTCAGCAAAGAAACCCTAGAATTACTTATGACGCGGGAACATTTTCCGCTTTTCCGAGGAGAAACAACCTGCGTAATTACTCACATTATTTGTTACGGTTGAATTGGGCGGGAACAGAGTTAAGGAAGCCCAAGGTACAAAATGTACCGAAAATCGTGCACACAACAGTGGGAATGGTATTCGATAGGTAGCATTGACACTAGCTCCGACATGCGCGTCAAACACTGTTGTTCTAGTCCTCTAAAAGGGCCACACCAGCATGTGCACCCGCGAACGTACGCATGGTTCAACTTTGACCTCCCATGCATTCGAACACACTCCAGGCGCAGTGTGCAAGTGAAAGCTTCAGTTCAGATGTAAAGAAGTATAAACATGAAGCGACATAAAGAAATGCTACTGACACAAGCTAGTGGCAGCTAACGGCAGACCTGCACAAGAATGATCGATTTGTCACTGAAAGTGTTGGCATGAAACACAGTAAGCAATACCAAAATCCATCTTCGGTGGATAGATGCTAGTGAACTAGAACTAGGAACACATTAATGTTGTTATTACTTCAGCACCTACAAAATTCAAGTAGATGGGTTCTCAGTGAGACATTTGTTCCAGACTTACTTGGCTGAAATGCAGCTCCCAACGTCGCAAGAAGGTTGATCTGTCAAGACTGGCGTAAGATTCTGTTCAGCAACGTCTGTTGTGGGGACGGAAGTGCCTTCAGCACTGCCAGACTGAGACCTAGATTTGTACCCAAAGTATGTGCTTAAGCTCGCAAAGAAGGTGCAAAACTAAAAGGACGTGGGGTTTGTGGTTTAGTTCATTCAAAAACTATATAACTATTTTTCAAATTATTCAAGCCTGTTTTCCATGTTTTACAAATAACCAAATAAAAGCCAAGTTAAATAAGGGGATGCGGAAAAAATAAGGAAATACATCTGCACCACAAAAAAAATTATATTGTTCAAAAAGACCACTGGCAGTGTCACGAGGCATGAATGTAAATCAAGGTGCTGAGGTGATGGACATATCCAGCATGTCCTCCAGAGTACTACTGACCAAACACTGATGCCACAAATACAAAAGGTACAATTTAGATCCGACCTCACCTGCATTGTTGGGAAGTGCTTTTTGCAGAAAAAGTTGCACGCATTAAATTGTCTGCTTGATCACTACAGGCGTGACGATTTTTACTTGGCGGGCATGCGTTACACTCTAATGACGTTAAAGACTGGTGGATCATCCTGAAAGAATCAGACTGGAGGAAATCCAAAAAGTAGCTGCGTGCGAGAAGACTTTGTATATCGGCCTGTGCAGCGTCAAAAAGTGAGCGCAGGACGGGAAACCGTTTATCTCCACCAATTGGATTGTGGTAAGAATGAGAAAAAGCAGCTAAAGTTGAACGAATCTCTCGTTTCGTGGTGTCGTTCACAGGAACTGACAATGACGCACCGGTTTTAATGTAAGTCCGGTATATAGCCTTTGCAACCTGGAGAAGCTTCAGCTGGTCATCTCCATCAACAATAGAACGGAATCCTTTGCATGCAAACCAAAAGTCCAACAAATGACCGGATGAAAAAGAAGAAGTCAGAAATTTATGGAAAAGTTGCACGCCCTCAGAGTCGTTTAGAAGGGTATCCAGTTGATGATTTAACGGGTGATGAGATTCCATGATTGGCAATGCAAATGCATTGAGAAAAAAAATAGGACTACAAATGCATTGGTTGTTTATCGATCACGCTCGAAACATTAGAGCGACACCTGATCACGAAAACAAAACACTGACCCAAAGCGTCTTTCAAATCTGCGCTTCTGACGATATCAAAAATTTTTAAGAATCTAATATAGTAAAACAAAAATACTTTGATAAAAAATATTTACGTTTTACCTTTTTGCACCCTATTTAGCAAATAATAATATTATTTTTAGCTTATTTCAACCTGTATTGCAGAACAAAAGTAAGCATCTTATTAATTCAGCATTTCATTCCAGAATAAGCAAAACAATTTAGAATTGTAACGCAACAGTGGGTTATTTTTATCCATTCTTTTGTTTGCATGATTTTTTTAAATTTGGCTCAGTTTCAAATTTTGTGGTCAAAAGCTAGTGAGCAAGCAGTTTCCATTGCATTGTAGTCAATATTTTTCTTTAATGTTCGAGAATATATTTTTATGGCAATCTGAGCAAATTGACATTCCACGGTTTTCTAAAGGCAATCTGAAAACTCTAATTACTTCCGATATGCTTTTAATATGCCTGGTATTTTTGATAAATAATATGATTGTGTTATAACTTTTAACTTATCAATAAGCAAAATCATTTCCATTAAATATGCAACTGTGCACCTCGAGAAAAGATTGTATGATCAATGTATTTAACTCGTTTGGTAAGTAAAGGCCGTGATTAGTTTTGATTGTTACTAAAGGATTGTTGGGAATAGTTGTGCTAAGTTACATTCTATTTATCTGAAAATAAATATAAGGTCAGATTGCCTGCCAGAACTAATTTTTTTTCAGATTAACCCACATGCCATCTTCCTTTTTTGAGGCCAGACTGTTTAAGAGTGGTGAAAATTTTTTAATGAATGTATTATAATTTATAATTGGTTGTTGTGGACAGATAATAACAGTGTCGAATCATGCCAGTTGTTTATCATATACGGGGCTAATTCGGGTTCAAATATTAAGCATTTTTTTCTGTTTTCTAAGCACGAACTAATTCCTGAAATCACTCGCAGCTTCTGAAGAGCAATTTAATTTCATTAGTTGTTCAATGTAAGCCTGTTAAACTTTTACATAATTAGACTGAGTATTTTAATCTCACCTTATGGGCTTATACTGTCAATACCAATTCCTAATTTGACTACCTAATGCATTTTGCAATAAAAAATTGATATGCCTTCATTCTTAATCTGTGTACTTCTGTACCAAAGCCATCTGCTTAACAGATCCAGAATTATTTGACCAGTAAAATACTATGGTTGGCTTGTTCTTAATATTAATGACTTGAACTTAACTTTGATGACTTTAACGTAGATTTCCGAATCATTGGTGAAATTCATCATTTTTGCTATGTTGCTTACAATAAACATTAATTTTTAGACTATACATTTCCCTAATATTGCAAATACATCAGCATGCATTTGAAACGGTCTACTCCGTTATATGTTCCTTCATTGAGAGAGAATACTTAAAACGGCCACTCATGATTGTTACTCATTGGATTGATTATCTTTGTTTTTTTTACTAATTTCTGCCTAATTTCAAGTAAAATAAATCCACGAAATGCAGAGCATGCTGCTACTTCATACCTGATTGCTGTGCGATTTCTACGTCAAAACTCCATCTGTCTGTTTTGTTTGGATCCATGTGTTTCGATACAGTACGGAACGAAGTGCCCAGAAAGGGATAAAAAGATAGGAGGCACCGGAGACTCACAAGTTTACTGGGTCACTAGGACGAAGTTTCATAATGCTAACATTCACGAAAATATCTATATGTATAACAGCGTGAGGTAGGAAGACACGGGGTCACCGTAGCTTACTGGGATGGGAGTCGGTAAGGGGGCTCATAAATGTGTTCCAGGGAAAAAATACACGACGTAACGAATTTTATAATCAGGTAATTGAGGCCTAATTATCTCCGTTCAAGTTAACTCGCCATCACCTAGACATACGCATTTAACATCCTCAAAACCGTTTTGGTATTAAAATTAATGACCTTATTCATAAACGCATGGTAGAGGCTAATAAAAGGATTCAATCTGGGCAAATCCTTCTCGAAAATTTCCTCATGAGAATAAGATTATTTGAATGGATTGAATACTGTAAATGAGGTGCGAAGTTACGGCATCCACATCAAATTTTATCTGACACTGTTAAGGAAATAATTGCAAAGTGATTTGACATCCTCCCGTTATAAGCATCTCTTATATCGCTAAACGATATCTAATGGTGTCAAGGGTGTATTCATTGTCAGGTTCATATTTTATTTGGAAAAATACTTGCCCAATGAAGCCTGCTTAAAATACTACTGAAGGTTGAAAAGTAGAGAGCACTCCTGACTGCTATGGATTTAGCTAAATTACCTAACACTTGCACTCTTCTTGATTTCCTTACCAAAAAGTGCTCGAATAAACCATTTTAGAACCCCGGTTAGGCCTTTGTGTTGTATGATTACTAACAACACGAGCGACTCATAAATCTAGAGAATGTGTCACCCATACAATGGAAGAATAATCGGGCGAAGGATTTGTGTATATAAGACCGTATATAGACAATAATTATTTGGCCAATTAATGTTTCTGTCAAGATGTGAAAATATGATTTAGCCAGGGCGATACCAATGGCTCCATTTAAATTCAATGACAAAAATAACGTTAAGGTTGAGGATCCTGAAATCAAAGCATTAAACTTGGTAAATGTAACATAAGCATAGAGGACTGCTGTGGCAATTACAAGAGGTGGACGAAAGTCTTTAAAGCTCAGACCCCACGCGGTTTAGAGGTTGCAGAGATGCAGACGAGAATGGCTAAGTGAGTAAATTTCTAAATCCCAAGTGTTTGGATTAATGCGCTAATATCAATTAATTCAATTCGCATTTCATTAAAATGTCGCAACATTTTAAATACCAAAACTAAAACCAACAATTCTATAGCCAAATAATGATCGGTTGCATGATTTTAGGACAGAGTCATAACACAATGACTCAGGAATGACTAAACGTTAAGTACCTGTATTTTTAAAGCCTATAATGACATTTACTTCTAATTTGTTTGACGTAGCCAGAGAGAAGACACGGGTACTTTGGCCTAAATACGTTATCTAACCGATATTGACCCTTGTCTGTTCAAAGAAAATTCATTAGTTTAGAATTGGATATGATTGAGAAGACCGCACCATCCACAAGGGCCTGGCTTGGAAAGAGATTTTCGAGGACCCAACTATCAAGATGACACTCGAGAGTTTTCATGACTGAGTTGGCAGAGCCAATCTTTCTCTTCTACGCGAACGAGGGCTGCCTCACCTGCTGCCAGCAGGTGCTTGATCATGCTTGCACACAACACCTCAAGATAGCCCTTGTCGTCTCAAATTAGCGACATGGAAGGCATAGTAGTGAGCAGATTGAAGAAAAAAAATGAAGCCACTACACTCGATTCTTGAAAGACATCTCACAGATTGATTGGGCGTTTTGGTTAATGGCTGAATACCCTTCACAAGTGGGTCGCGCAAACCACGATCAAACTCACTATACACTTGGGTAACCCGAATCTAGGCCCTGTTTTATACCATGGCGGAAACCAACACTAGCTAAAAAAGGTGACTGAGCTATTCCAACAATAGATCAAAGTTATGGTCGCCAAGACGGAAGCGAATATGATCTCGCATGGGGATAGGGGGTTAACATAACACAGGTGATGAAAATCCTGGCATTTGGTACACGACCCCAATAGTATTGTGCAACGAAAACCACGATATTGTTTCGTAAATATGAACGGAGGTACACGAGAACATCGTCAGAACCGCAGAGACCAGGTTTTTAAATTTGACTGAGACAGTGCGACCTGATCCTGCACCCTGTAGCACATAGAAACCAAAGTTACCTAGAATTAGTCCCGCTTGATAGAGGCGCTGTAATTTGAGTTAGCAAATGCAGGCACAAGGCCAAACGCCTTTCTCATTTCAAAAATTTTCAATGTAATAAAGTTCGATTCAAATACTACTTGGTGCTGTCGAAACAAGCGCCTTTTCACAATCTCCACCGCCAAAAATCAATGAGTGGCGTTTGCAGTGCCGCACAAGGACCCAGATGCCTTGACAGCAGGCGAAAACCACAGTGCAATGTAAACAATTGTAGTGATGGCTCTTAGCATGCACGATAAACTAGATATATGCAAGCAACTCAGATGGCTACCCGAGTGTGTAAACTTAAGATTTCTCAATAGACAGTGTATGCTGTGAACTACTTTACACAAACAAATTTTTAAACTGCCAAACCAATAAATCAAACAGAAAGTTATCTTGTTTTAAAGCTTACGATGTAAAGGAAGTGTAGGAATAATACGAATAAGATCAGGCACAGTCGATTTGTAAATAGTCGTGCAGAACTCGACATGTTTCGTTTTCGAGAGCAAGGTGGTATCTAGATAAGAAAACGTTTGGCGATCCCATTTTGTTGTTTTATTTCAGGGATTTCTATTCTTAAGTGCTACTGTGAAGATTATTTAATTGCTAGTAAAGGAATAAAGACGTACTTTGAAGTGACCACGAGATTCAATGAAACTCAAGAATATTGAAACTCGTAACAAAGCCTTTACCGAAAAAAAACCAGAAATTCAAACAAACAATCTTCTGCAGCAATTGCAATCTACACGAAAGGTAACAGTGAATCTTGATTGACTCCACTAGGGCACAAAACTTGTTTAGTGTAGGCAACTTGATAAAGGCACCCAAGAGCCTAAACCAGTCTTCATTTGGTTAGCCAATAGCACGAAATGTGGTGACTCAGTAGAGGAATACTACACTTATAGACCAAGGCCTAAACATCAAAATATAGTCAGTTACAAACTCAACTATGACCACTTATCGATAATGGCATGGTCACAGATAACTTCAGCCCAGTCAGCCAATGATAGGCGGATCAGTACGGTCGAGACACAACTATCACCAATTACCGCCATAGGCACTATGCTCCATTCCATCATCTGGAGGGCCAAAAAACGGAACCTCTTTGAGATTCGAGGCACATTTAGAACAAAATGGCTCCGCTGCATTATGCAATGGCGTGAGAAACCAAGGAACTCATCTGTTTTGGCTGTTCGAGTCCTATTAGTCCAGCGCAAGCTTTCTGCTCATTATTAATTTATACTAATAGTTCATGTAAATCGGTTCTACATAACTAAATCAAACAAATGAGTGTAATTTGGCAGCAGCGTAAATAGCACATTATCTAAGACTAAAAATGCAACATCTCTTGGTTTACTAGAACCACAGGTTAAAACCCATAAGACAAGGCAAATTATCGAAGAGCCAAGTGTCAAAATACTCTATAATGAAATGCACAATTCAACAAAGTTTACTGGGTTGGAAAACTATGAAACAAGATAACACAAACTACTACGACCATTATATTTTAAGACTCGAAGTGGATGCGGTACATCAAACCAAACAGCCTTTTCTATTCAATTGATAAAAATTACGAAATCGCAGAACAAATCATCAGTGGTTGCCGGAAGTAACAAACAAGTCAAAGCTTCGAAAAATGGAAATGTTGCAAAGCATCTACTGGTTTTTAACACTAGACAAATATTTTTTCCTTTGAATTAATTCGAATTTTGCAATAATCCAATCGCGTAGGAAGCCTGGTAACAGACCGAGGCCAATAACCATCAGCTCATGTGGTAGGAAGCCACAGCACTGCTGTGCGATCCCAATCATGCCAAGTGCTGATTTAGCATAAACCTCTGCAGTAGGAATGAAGAAGTTGACTTTTTTCTCGCCTCTATTAGGGGTCCAGATAAACCCAGGGGTGAGAGTAAGAAAACGTACGTGCGTCCGACAACAAGTCCTCGTCTCACCAGCGACAGAAGCAGCAAAATTGTGGACAAATGATTTGCAAGCAGCGTAGAGAGATTTGTAGGGCCGGGGGAAAATACCCGACACTGACGACATAGAAATTATACAAGGCGGTGGACGTTTTTTATCGATCTGGGACATCATTTTTGGCAAGGTGATTCTTGTCATACAGGAAGTTGAGGTTACATTACAGAAAATCATGCGCTGAATAAACTCTACTGTGAGAAATTCACACGACGCTGTTGGACCTGCACACACCTGCGACATACCAACGTTATTTATGAGACATGCTACTGACGTAAGCCCGTCGATTTCACGTTTGAGAGCTTCATAAAAGTCGCCCTTAAGAGAAAAACAGAAAACTGACAATTGTTGCTAATGAAAAACGACATAAAGGCAGGAGACTTCATTCACCCACCTTCGTAAAATCGGCGGTAAACACCTTCGTCTTAATTTTATATGTGCGCTCAAGTTCCTGTGCAACTTTGGCCAGCTTATCAGAGTTGCGACTTATGAGAAAAATGTTGAGACCATCTGCAGCAAGTTCTTCGGCAAAAGCTTTGCCAATGCCATCTGTTGCGCCGGTAATAATGGCCCAATCACCTGCAAGTTTAAGATCATTTCGTTTGGAAAGTGCTTTTCTGATAGGAGCAGAATATCTTCCCAAAATCCAAATAATACACACCACTTTGGACAAAAAGAGAGCCAAAAGGAAAGCAAAAACACCGACCATATGTCAGGTATTGTGAACAGGTAAACGAGAATCAAAGCGTAACAGACGCCACCAATAAGGTCAACCGTGAGTGATATGTTTAAACAGGCATATTAATAACGGAAAACACTTATTTCAAATAAAATTTCTTAGCCAGATGATCAAGCATTATAATTCAAGTTAAAAATTCAACTTGAGTTTATGCAACTTCGTATTTAAATGCACTATTAGATTTCAAATTTTGACAGTGCAAACGAAAAGCTTTTTAATCATATCGCTCAGCTCGATGTACAATGTATCTGCTGGACAAGCAAGCTTCACGAGGTACCTTGGTTAAAAGCCTTCATTCTCCACGTATTTGTTGACTGCGTTCACCATTCTTTATTTTTATAGAAATTTATCTGCTTAAGATAAATAGTACATTTTATTTACCGGGATTTATTTAAAGAATCCTGCTTATAGATTCTACTGTGGGCCTAATGGCGTCGTTGACTTTCGCCTCTTTACTAATCTGTGGGTTAAATTAATGACTTTTAGGGTGTATGTGATGCTCCCATTGTCGAACAGGCTCTATTGATCAACCACAAGTCAACAATCCGAGCCCACCACGCTTGCTGCGCCGCCCATTATATACTGTCTCTCATACGTGTCCGTCTCTGGTTGGCTGCATTTCATCCTTGCATGCCATTTGAGCACAAAGAAACTGTGGATTGTCTAAGGCCGGAGTGGTTCAACAAATCTGAAAACGTAGGTTGACCTTTATTCGACTCCTAGACAGTGACCCTACCCATGTGGTATTTTAATTCCATGCGGGCTTTGTATTCCTCGGTTTCCTTACATTATCTTAATCAGATGGGTATTAATCAAACCACAAACGTTGTTATCTTACGTGCAAATTTACTAGTTGTGTCACTTATTACATTCAATATCTTAACTACGATTTTGCTTGTTACTAAACCTATAGTTGTACACTATTATATTTAAAATTCTCCTCTTAAATTATTCCTGGAATGTATTCACTGGGTTCCGCTTTGTCTTTGTAACTTACATGCGCCAGAATGTGGCTTGTTTTCTTGATACTGTATTTAGCGCATGCCTTCATATTGACACTAATTGAGCCGAAATTTATTGAATAATTGCTGGGTTTAAATGGTTAGCTAACTGACCTCCTAATTAACTAATAAATATTTAGCCAGTACATGGTTACTAATTTCGCTTGCACTTTTTCTATACACGACCCATTATAAATACATCCAACTCGATCGATTGTCGTTTCTTCTGTTATATATATATATATATATATATATATATATATATATATATATATATTCTTTTTC